TTCAGCTATTCGCCACCTGGAAAATACAGATCGACTTAAGATCAAACTATTTCTTGTTTTGTGAAAATATAAAGGGAATTACATTCGTAATCCCGTTTTTTTTCATACAGTTGTTCGTGCCTTTTTTTCATATTTTGTATAAAAACGCATATTTTCAGTGAAAATCGGTCATTTTAGTCGAAATTTCGACAATTCCATATGGGAGGTACTTGTAAATCGATTCCGAATGGCTTTAAACTTTCTAAGATTTATGGCGAAAAAATAAGAATCTGAGAGTTTGAAGTCAATCGGAATCGATTACACATCCCATACAAAATAACTTTCAAGAAAAAATTGAGGGCCAAAAAGCAAACTTATGCAAATGTGAATCGCGATCAACGTGAAAATTTCAGAATTTCATTTTTTCACCAAAAAATGAAATCTCAGAAAATTTGGAGCCAATCAAAATCGAATGGGTCTCATTTTGAGGTTGGTTGTGTCTTTGTGTGTTCACACCGAGTTATATTGTTTTAGTTGTTGTAATTTTTTGGCGTGCGCTCGCACCACAACACATTGTTACATGTTTTGCTTTCTGTTTATACTTTTCTTCTTTTTTCTCTCACTCACAATCGCAAACAGAGAGCTGAGTCCAGTGTAATTTGATACTCGCTGAGGATGACAAATGGCGAAATGCATCCGAACCAAAATTTCGTTTATAAATAAATATTCATATTGATTTATGTTTGAAATTTGAAAAAGCAAAGTCACTTTGAGGTGTTTTATTTAAAATTTAATCGTAGATTGAAAAAATCTTTCCATTTCAATTCCCTTAACGTGCGGAAAGTGTACGGAAAAGTAAAATATTCAACATTACCATTGTTGGCAGCATATTGAATCTATTCCAATTGTTCTGCAATATTATTGTGACCTGAAAAATAATACAGATCAATGAAAAAGATCAAAGCGGTATTAAATATAGTCAGCAGTACCATGGCTAACAGCTAACTGACGAGGTGTTAGATTCGCAAGATTTCTAACATCAACTTTGGCTCCTTTTTTGATGAGAAGTTCAGCAACATTTTCGTGACCTTAGAAATAATTTGGATCGATGAAAAAGATCAAACCGATTCTTTATTTTGTGAAAATAACTATTCAACATTACCATTCCTAGCAGCATAATGAAGAGGTGTATGATTAAAATTATCCATGACATCCATATTGGCGCCTTTTTTGATGAGAAGTTCAGCAACATTTTTGTGACCTTAGAAATAATTTAGATCGATGAAAAAGATCAAACCGATTCTTTATTTTGTGAAAATACTTATTCAACATTACCATATATAGCAGTATAATGAAGAGGTGTATGCTTCAAAGCCTCTCTAATATCAGCGTTAGCTCCATTCTTGAGAAGCACATCAGCGACATCTCCATGACCTAAAATAATACGGATAAATGAAAGAGATAAAATCAATCGTTTCTTTAATAAGAACAAGCATTCAACATTACCACTGAATGCAGCTAAATGAAGAGCTGTGGTATTCGAATCATCTCCAATATCAGCGTTAGCTCCATTCTTGAGAAGCACATCAGCAACACCTCCGTGACCTAAAATAATACGGATCAATGAAAGAGATCGACGGGATATCTGATTAAGTCAACCTTACCATGCATAGATGCCAAATAAAGAGGTGTCTGATGAAAATTATTTTTAATATTAAGATTGTTTGCTTTACGGCTGAGAACTTCAGTGACGCTCTTGTGACCTGAAAAATAATTCAGATCGATGAAAAAATTAAACCAATTTACCATTTAGTAGACATCACACACAACTCTGACACCCGTGTATGTATGCTAGTCGGTTTTGTGTGTGAGTTGGTTGCGATGGCTGTACATGCGACGTTTGTTTGCACAATAGTTGTGTGCGCGGCAGTTGTGTGTGATGTCAACTGTATTGCATCGTGATATGCTTGTGGCTTGTCTATTGGTCGAAGCACATTCAATGCTTGCTGCTAAGCAATACTAATGCGCATAGTACTCGAAAAGAGTATTCAAAATTACCATTCCTAGCTGCCAAATGAAGAGGTGTATTATTACAATCATTCATGATATCCATACTGGCACCTTTGTTGAGGAGAACCTCGGCGACATTTTTGTGGCCTGAAAAATAATTCAGATCGATGAAAAAATTAAACCAATTTCCCATTTGGTAGACATCACACACAACTATGACACCCGTGTATATATGCTAGTCTGTTTTGTGTGTGAGTTGGTTGCGATGGCTGTACATGCGACGTTTGTTTGCACGATAGTTGTGTGCGCGGCAGTTGTGTGTGATGTCAACTGTATTGCATCGCGATATGCTTGTCTATTGGCCAAAGCATATTCAATGCTTGCTGCTAAGCAATACTAATGCGCATCAGGCCGCGCTAGCGTCCTATCTAAATACATTATAATGAATAAGTACAAACTACTACATATGCATTTCGCTATGAATGCGTTTCATGTTATGTGTTTTGATTTCATTTAATTTTGGAAATTGAAAAAAAAAAATATTTATCGACAAAATATATTTTAAAACATCATTGCAATAAAAAAAAACTTCCAATTAAGAATGAATATATTGATATTGAGTAAGAAAATTCGGTGTAATCGGTGAAATACTTGAATCAAACATAAACGTTTGAAAAACGTACGACGCGCGCAAAAGCATAAGTGATGTCAAAGTGTGTACAAAGAGTGAAGCAATAGTGCGTTTAATGCTATGTGCTATAGTGTCTCTGTTGATGTTGATCGCTGACGTTTATAGTGGTAGATGCGCATAGTACTCGAAAAAAGTATTCAAAATTACCATGGGTAGCAGCATAATGAAGAGGTGCCTCTTTCCTATTAGTTTCACTATCAACATTGGCTCCTTTGTGGATGAGAAGTTCGGCGACACTCTTGTGACCTGAAAAATAATTCAGATCGATGAAAAAATTAAACCAATTTCCCATTTAGTAGACATCACACACAACTCTGACACCCGTGTATGTATGCTAGTCGGTTTTGTGTGTGAGTTGGTTGCGATGGCTGCACATTAGGGTGTTTTTGGTATTAAATAAACAGAAAATAGTAGTTTTAGTTTGATAGAGCAGAGAATTTGGAATCGATTTCATATATTTTTGTT